CAATTCCATTATTATTCTCAATAGAGAATGAGCTAGTAGCTTGCATTTGGAAGATCATACTGTTTTCCTCAGCATAGCATGTTAGGATTGCATGATGCTGTCCGTAGCTGTTTGAAACTCCAACCTCACAGACAAAAAGCAGTTGGCAGTAAGAATTGCCATAGTGGTAGTCTGTAGCAGCATTGCAAAATAAATCCAGAACAGTGGCTCCTAAGAGTTAGACTGAGATTTTCCTACTCCTGCAGTTCAGGAAGTTTTGGAAAATTCAAGTCTACTGCATGTTGAAAGATGAAGGCAGTTATTCAGGATATAAAACTAGTTTCTCTAAGGGAGAAAGCTGTTTGGCTCCATGTCATTTGGCCAAAAATTCATTAAATTTAATTTTCATGCAAGTCTGAAAGGGCTGAGGTATCTAGAGACCATGGTTCCCCCTCCCAAGATCTGTGCAAAATGAATTTCCTGAGTATCTGAATGACTCCAAAGTGATTTAGACAGATGGTCTAGCTGACTTCATGGGTCTATAATTTCCCTCAGAAGGAATTCCTTGCCAAAACTGTATTTGTTCCAAACTTTGGTTTCCTATTTTCTAGCAGCAGTCTTTTCTTTCTTGATTTAGAGCTGGAGAAAAATAACATTGTAATGAAACACCATCCTGAATTGAAATGGGGAATAATTTCTGTTGGACCTGAAAGGTTTACCTAGAAGGTCCATGACACAAATTGTGACAGTATACAGCATTGTTCACAACAGTGCATAAGACAAAGCACGAAAAGATTGATCTGAAAAAAATACCTGTAATTTGCCTTCTAAGTGGAAATTGTGATGCAGGAGGTTGTCTTGGTAACTCCAGGAAATGTACTGTATTTACACATTCATAAATTTGGAGGAGAGGGAAATTCAAATAGATGAATGCAAATATGACAGAATGGGCATCACTTTTATGCTTTGTTTGAAATTTCATCTTCTACTCTAGAGAAAACCTGACAAATCCATTTTGTTATTAGGCTACTTCCCCTTTCAATGTATGTTCATTTTATCAAAATGGTGAGACCCTCAGTCTCCTGGTTTTGTTAGCACTATTGACTTCTTTCTTTCAGTAGCGACTTTACCTGTAGCCATGATGCAAAGGAATGCTGCATTGTAAATGGATTGTGTTGGCTTATGAATGTCTGTATTAATTTACAGCAACATTTTAAAAGCTAAGTTCCTTTTAGAAGCAGCTAATTCCCATATCATGGGTGAATGTTGATACCATGGCAGGCTTTCAGGTAGAACGGAGGAAATGCCAATGAAATGCAGATGAAATCTTTTGAGAGAGCAAATATTGATTTCTTTCCCCTGGAGTTCCCTTGGTTAATTTCACCTGGAGTTTTAATTTTTGTTATGTTTGTTTCTTTAAAAATCTACCACAAAAAAGTATACCAAAGAGTAAAAAAAACCCCAAAATTAAGCCTGCTTTCCCCATTCATCATTCTAAGCAAATTTCATGTATTCCCCTTCCCTCATTCTATTTCTGAGCAGGAAACTGACCTGATGAAATATTAGTCAAGTGTCAGTTCCCAATTTAACCCCATCTAAACTAATTTTTCAGACCATGTTGTTACCTCCCTATGCACCACTGCATTTGTATGTTGAGCTTTAAGACCATTCCTTTGTGTGTGATGAAACAGAATCAAATAGCATTATGCTCTGGAGCTGTGGGGCTTTTTTAATTTAGTGGTGGTTTGGTATCAGAAGGAACATGGAAAGCATTTTTTCCCTTATCCTCTGCTGAGTATGCAAAACTTTTTGAACCAGTTCTTGTTAGATGAAGTAATAAAACTAATACTTCATTCTATGATCTGAAATTAAAATATTTGTCCTGCTTTAGATTAGATTTTGAACAAAAATGAAATCCGAAAGGACATGGTCTGAAAATACCTGGAAATAATATTTTAAATTATGGGAAGCTAAGTTGAATAATCTAGCTTTGAAGAGCCATACATCTGTCCATTTACGTGTGATCAGTAAATAAACAGTGCCAGAAGAGGTGTCATGAATATACTCCAGTGATTTGAGAAATGGTACAAACAGCACTGCAGCTCTTCAAATGCCTTCCTTAGAGGAAACAAATGCTAGTTACTTCTTCTGACACAAATATAATGTTATGTTTCAAACAAGTTAGATTTTCTCTCTGCTCATATCTTTACCTCTAGTCCAATGTGATCTATAGACATATAATTCGAAAGGGAAAACGTGTGCTGTCACTACTATCTATTCTTCAATTCTATATATACATTTTTTGCTGTTCGACCTTAGATTTGTCCATCTCTAATTCCTTGCATTGATTTTGGTTTTGTTACAATTTGCCTAAAATGCATCAAAAAAATGGAAGATATCACAAACTATTTTTATTATTATTTTTATTATTATTTTTTAATATATTTTAGGGAGAGAAAGGTCACATATAAGTTACTTCACTATAACTTGGTCTGTGGAACTTGAAATAAATCATGTATTTTAGAATTGCATGTGTTCAGCACAACTTCTCAACAAAACAGATCAGGACTGATGATTTATTATCTCAAAAGTAACTTTGTTCTACTGGATGGTTATCTTCATTGTAAAATGACAACCTCTTCCAGTCTGTTTCCACAGCTCCTCATTGCTAGAATGTTATTTCTTTAAATAGTCCCTGATGTTACAAATAGAGGAAAATAGTCTCTTTTACAAATTAGGATTTCTTTCTTAGCCACAACTCATAAATTTCTCTATTGTGATAGTATGGGATTGTTTCAGACAGCAAACTGACTGGTCTTTGTCACTGCCCTTTCATAGCAAAGTAAGTCCTTCATGCTGTAAACATGATGTTTGGCCCCTATTACTCAAAACACATTATACTGAATTTCAGCCTATTCACTGGGATCTTTTACTGTTACTCAAACTTAGCTCCTTTTGTAATCTATGGAATATTGCTACAGATTAGACAGAAATTACTTTACGACAACACAGAATGGTTTAGAGAAGCTGAGAGACCTATTGAATGTCTGAGCTGGACATCTTAAAACAGTGGAAAAAGGAGTCTAGAATGTAACTATTTAACTTTGTTCTACCTTTTTTCCTACCACATCTGAACAATTTATTTTTTTTAACTTTCTAGTTGCTTCCACTGCCAGTATTTCTCTTGCTGCATGAACACTGCATGAACACATAGGAAAGTGCTTCCACCTGCAGAACTGTCATTTCTACAAAAGCAAGTAAGCCCTATTAATTTAATTAGGTAAGTACTCAAAAGTTTTCAGAAATAAAATAACTTGGCAAAAGGCAACATGGCAGACATGAGCAGACGAAAAATGTATTTCTAGATTACTGATTTTATCCCAAAGGGTAAGTATCTATTCAGAGTGGCATCCTGGATGATGGTTAGGGGATGCAACAGGCAGAGTCAGCAGTGCTTACCTCTGTTCAGTGGAAGACTGGGTCAGGACTGTTGATGGCTTATCTTGGGGGGGGGATGTCCATGTCTGGTTTGTTACAAATTGAGGAATTTAGACTAGATGTGATGGTTAAGTTCATATGTTACTTTAGAGTTACTCAGTCTGTCCAAAGAAAAAAGAAAATCTTTATGTATTCTGCTTGCAAAGAAACACCTAATTTCTCAATTTTTCCAACTTGGGATTTTTAGTGTTTGTGTTGTGGTTTTTTATTTGTTTGGGCTTGGTTTGTTTGGGTTTTTGTTTTTTACCACTATGTTTATTTTAAATCACATTTAGTTACAAATTTTAGAGACAAGGGAGGGAACACTTCATTAACCATTAGGGCTGGGACCCTCACTGGGGATTACAAACAATGAAACATCTGAAAATAAGAGACAGAAGAAGCCTGAGAGAGGTAAATAAAATCATGGAAAGCAGGGAAAAAGAAGCTGGAAGAGGCAACCAGAAAAACACATAAAGATTTAGAGACAGAAAATAGCTACATCTCAGTAGACTTTAGTTCCCTGAAAGAAGGAGTGGAGAAATTATATATAAGCCACAAAAGATGGATGAGGAAGGCTTCAAACCAGAGGTAATAGAGAATGTGAGCATGTCTTCAGATGTCTGTTGTTAAAATGGTAGTTTGTTTTCAGACTGTTACTGATCCGAAGAAGATGCCATTGCTTTCCCTGAGCACCACCACTTCAAGCTGCTTCAGTATACTTGTAACATGTGCCAATGTCCTGCTTCTGTTGTAGGGTTAGGGTTAGGGGTTAGGGTTATTATCTGGTATTAAGATTTAGCATTTACATAGAATTTTCATGCACTAAATGTTTTACAAATACTCTCCAATTAATCATCTCAGCACCTACATGGATTGTATGAAAATATAGCTGTTTTGCAGATGGGGAAACTGCAGCTGATGGAATTGCTGGAGGCAAGGCAAAATGTGCTTTTGTCAATAGCAGCATATGGTACTTAAGCTGTTTGCTTTATATTTGTATTTGACTCATCTTCCTGATTATTACGTGCTGTACCTCTTTGCATTGATTTGGTGCAGTATTGGTAAAAGTTGTTGATATTAACAGTTAGCTCTGCAGTGCCTCTCTCTCTTGGGGGATGATAATAGAAAGTGGCACCTATTTAGATGGGGAGACCCAAATACCTAGCACAAGAGCCGATTTTCCTGACAAATATCTGCTGCTGATTGATACAAAGGAACTGACGAGCTCCTAAATGGCACCTTAATGAATTATGGTATCTTTAAAAATGTAGAGAATTTCCAGAAAGACATATATATTAGTTCTCTAATATTATTCACATCTGGATGTTTGTCCTTTGGTTATTTTGAGATAGATGCCAAAAAGTTGTTATTTTAAAAACAGAGAGTGCTATGAAGGTTAAAAAACCCACCAAATTTTATGGGAGTCTTAGCATTCTTTACCCTGGTGTCAGGCAAATACTTGGTTCCATCAGTTGCAATCTTTTCCTCATACTTGCCAGCCTCTTTTATTAACGTAAGAGAGCCAACACAGTTCACAGAAGTCAAAAAATATTTAAGACTTTTATTTTTTTATAGACAGGCAAAAAAGCTAAACCCATGAACTTATGAAATGCACAGTCAGGAAAACATAAATTAGTGGCAAACCCTTTGTCAGTGTTCATTCTTAGGTTGGTTACATATAATTACGGAAATTCACTGCAGCTTCTAATGTATTTTATAATTTGAATTTGCGTATGTGCTCACACATTCATTTTAGCTAGTGAAGTTGTTTTTCAAGAACTTTGCAGTAATGTTTAGTTTGTCTCCCAGGGATGTGGCAATAATATTGGGTAAGTCTAAATTCGACACATGTGGGTTTTGTTGGACTCCTAAAATGTTTATTGTATCACAAATTCTCATCAAAATACTTTGAGATTCCAGACATTCTGTAAAGCAAGTGCTACTGCAGCTGTTCATAAAGCATAATATTTTCTCTACTTCTTTAATCAAATAAAGAACTATTTAACTTTCACTATGTAGCATTATGTGGTAATGTTGCCTAGATAACTTGGATGCATTTGGGGAATTTATAATGCTTAGTTATGAAATTAGCTACAGCAGGGATCTGACCAATTATGCCAGCTCCTTAACATCTCAGTGTAAAGACTTCTTGTAAGAACACAGCAAGTTTTTGCTAGAGAAGCTAGATCTTGTTTCATTTGATAAAGCATCGATGTCACTGGAAACATCAAAGTACTAAGGGTCTGGTATTGCAAGGTACAGGGCAATTTACCAAACTTCTATGCAAAATAATTACCAAGACTGAAAATCTCTTTGAACAAAATTGCAGGGATAGGGCATATCACTTTAAACTGAAGTAGTGCAACTATTATTTTGGCTGAGACAAAACTGAAATCCTAAGAAAGGATAGATCTCCTTATAAAAAGATACATTCAGTATTTGTCTGAAGCTCTGGGTGGCTAAAGGATGAAGCACGAGTTTAAAGAGACTTCAGAATTATTAATGCAAATTTACTTAGGGAAAAAGAGTATATTAGGAAGAGAACACGTCTACTGTCCAAAATTAATCTTGTTTTCAATAAGCTGTTTAGGAACTCGATACTGATGACACTAGGGAATCTCTTATACTCTCAAAGTAATCAGGTATTTGCTGTTTCCTGCAAAGCCTATTTAGATGCCATCACTGAACGTGCCATTAGTGAGTGACACTGTGTTCCAACACAGGATCTTAAGACCTTAAATGAAAGTTTTGTGGGAAGACATAGTAAATACAGGTGCTCGGTAAGTCTTGTTGAAGGCTGGGCTAGGTGAAAGGGCAGTTGAGTTAAGTCTGAGTTTTTAATTATTTTTTTTCAAAGAACACAGTTTGAAACAATGCACTAATAAAGTGCATGTGTGTGTGTATGTGTGTGTGTCTAGAGATGAAGTCTTCTAAAGCAAAATCTCCACTAAAGCCATTTCTTTCTTCCAGTAAGTCAACTTTCACCTAAGTCTGAGGTTTTGAAATATTTTTTGTTTTGGGTTTTGTTTTGTTTTGTTTTTCAAAGAATATGTTGTCATCTAAGTATTACCGACTCAACATCATGTCCAGTGCTTTGAAATTTGGATTCAAAAAAGAACTATTAATTGGTGCACAAATATATACTGAATTGTTAATATTTAACAATGACTGATATAACACGGAAAATAAAACTACTAGAATGTTTCCTCAGCTGCCCACTGATCATTACTGGAAACCTATCCTTACAGTGAATGGGATGCAGCAGTCCCCAAGAAAACCATGTTTCCTCTGAAACTGGGAATGTCAATCAATCAACTTCAGTAACGTTGTAATTTTACCTACACTGCACTGGTGTTAGAAAACACCTAACGAACAGCCTTAATTCTTGCTTTTCATTTATAATGAAAGGCAAGCACAAATGAAGCTTCTGATTAGTTTTCCTGTCTGAATGAAACCAGAATATTTAAAGTTATCATTTTCCAGAGGTATGAAAAACAAGCTCCTCAGGACTTCTCATTTACTTATGCAGCCAAAGTGTGTATGTTACAGATAAATGTTTTATGATGTAAAATGATTTATTTTTTAGAATCACAGATTCTATGACTTTATTTTTAAAAAAGACAGGAATATCAGTCTTTTTTTATTGCATGCATTTGAGCTCCCCATTTTCTCACCTTTACCCACAAAGTCAGAACAGTTGTGTACAGGGAATTTGTTTTTCATTTGTTGACTTTTCATGCACAGGAATACACACTAGCATTGTTTCTCAGAAAAAACACTTTGTCAGACCTTAGCAAAATATGAAGGTTTTAGGACCATGCTACAAGGAGGTGACAATGCAGAAACCTGGGAACAGGCCCAGGACTTTTTAAGGAAGACACTTCAGCATCCTACAGGTGGGTTTTGAAGCTGCCTTCTGCTAACTGAAAATGAGGCTGTGTATACACTTTTTCTGGGAAAATGTGTTACTTAAGGTGCTTAAACGTAGATTAAGTCCTTTTGCAAAATCTATATTCTGAAACCCCTCCTTATTTATTTATTTATTTTACAGCATGTATATTCACACAGCCTTATTTTAGGCTACTTATTTTAGATGAAACTGATATATCAATCAATCAGCATCCCTTTAAAGGATGTAACCAAACCAGGAAAATGAAGTGCCTGTTTGTTTCATCTATGTATTCTGCACTCTTATGTTCCTCATGTCTTCCAGCAGCATAGGTCTGTAGATTGCCTCCAAGCTTTCCATGTACTCTAAATAATCACTCACTCGAAATCCATGGAGTGGATCTTCCTGCACAAATACACACAGAAAACATTTATAAGCTAGGAAAAAGATTCACAACTCAAATTTAATTAATTCGAAGGTTCTAAAGATACCTTGTTTTGTTCTGCTTGGATGTTTAAAATACATTTTATTACATTTCATTTAGAAACAAAGAACTGCTAGTATCTGCTTCCAGACAATTCTATTTAATTAAAGTCTTAGTATCAAATATTTTTTTCAGGTGGATGCTGTTCATCTCATTTTTGGATAACATTACATACTGAAGATTTTCAAGATTAACAAAGTAAGCTTTAAGAAGACAAAACCATGTACACAAATATTCTTTTAAAACATTTCTATACCAGCACATGGCATGCTGGAAGTTTGTTAATGTGGTTTTTATATCCAACTTGATTCTCAATAAAACTAAGACAGTAACAATAGATACTTACTTTTAAAGCCAATGATAAAGATTGTTATAAAGTAATTAAAAACGTAATAAAGACTTCTGCATCACTACAAATCATTACATTTTCACAAATTCCAAGACACAGAGTAAAAAAGGGGACCCTCAGGAAAAAGAAAGAAACAGCCCATGTTCTTTCTATGGCTACTAGATTAGAGGGTTGGGAAGGGTGCACAGTAGAAAGTAGGACCTGAAGAACAGTTTACATAAAACGGGTGAATTAGCTGCTGCTTTGAACTGGAAAAATTAGTGTGCCCAGCATCTACTAAGCAGTATTACCACTGTTGGCACCATATGCTGCAAAAAGCTCACTGAAGCCAGAGAGTCATTGTGGACACATTTTATCTACTGGTGTATTGACTCTACATCTCTGTTAAGCAGAACTCTCCTGAGAACACCTACTCAGACTTGGAAGGCTGCACTCTGCCATATGAACAGGAATACAGAGGAGAAGAAAACTGATTTCAACAGAGAATTGTAGTAGGTATTTAACTTTTTTTTCTTTCCCCTTTTTTTAAGCAAATATTATATTGATTAACTGTGCACACATATTAAAACATTGGTTAGAGATTTAGCTGTCAATAATATGGCCCATACCGACAGAAAATAAAGTGAGCAGTAGCTAAGTTACTTCCAAAAGACTGGCATACTAGCTCTGCATGTGCTATTACAAGTCACAAACCCTGTAGCCCAAGTTTCTCTATTTTATCCAAATTAAACCAATAGAATCAAGATAGTCAAGATGGGCTCACTGAGGTGGCAGTTTACAGTATTCGTGGTTCACATGTAGTAATTACAAATCTAAGCGCCTTCACCCTTCCATGAAAGGATTAATAAAGGGCCAAGCAATAAATTTAAAATTCAGTTAATGATGAAACTCCAAGATATCTCAAAGGGATCATAACTGTTAGCAACCCATCTCAGCCAACGGGAAGAATCAGAAAAAGGGACTAAATGGTCATGGACAATTCAGTACTTAACTTTCCTCTTGGCACACAGGAAAGGCAAATAGAGTAATAGAAAATGATCTCTTTCACAGGTGGTCATGTTTTTATCTCTAGAAGGCCATACTGGGAGAATGAAAGTTTTACTAATTAATAATGTTTGAACTTTAATCGATAGGCATAATGTCATGTGAATTGGCAGCAAGTTGTCTCCAACTTTTTTGTGTGTGTGCAAATAAAAGTACATTAATATTGAAGAAGAAAATATTTGGGTTTAATTTTAACAGCTATCAGGATCTACTTTTTAGATAATACCAACAAATGTGTATTGCTATCAAATCATCATATTTCCATTACAGAGATAAACCATGTTAGAGGCTTAAAAATAGAACATACTACTGGTTCTTGGAAGGAAAACAGGCAGCAGGACTTGTTTGTATAGCAAATGACCATTGCTAGTATGAACTCCAAGATGTGACGTTTAATTGAAAAAAATATTAATATTCAGAGATTGTAGGTGTCTTTTTTTCACTTGGAGTTTTTCTTCACTTGGACTATGTTCTCAGAATAGTTTATACTTCCACTTTTAAAAGAATTACTCCACTACAGTAATTCAAATTCATGAATGTTGTGCTGAGAAATAGGCTAAAACTTGAAAATTAATTTGGTTATTTCTATAAAAAAGGGCAGCTAACGCCTTTGCAAGTATTAAATCCAAATAACCTCACATAAAATTGAATATTTTTTTTTGTTTAGATGAATTAAGAGCTATCAAAACCAAGATTACTATTTCAGTATGCCATTAACTCCTCTTTTTCTACAGTAGTCACTCAAGGAATTTAAATACTCCAGTAGTGCACTAATACACGTCATTTCTCATTAACAGTACCATGTCAAATCTTTGGCTTGTTTATGCTGTAGGTGATGACAAGATACAAAGTCTCTTAAAATTTCCTAAAAGTTACATAACCTATCCAACTAAAACCGTCAAGACGAAGTAGTTTTTAAGCCACATTGACTAAAAACAGGTCAAACAAAACAATCCAATTAGACCTTAGCAAACATTTCAAGGGAAATGATCAGCTTATTCATATTTAAGTATATAGAAGTTGGATGCAAATTAGTCAGAAAACTGTTGTTTTTAGTATAAAGTAAGATGTAGATATCTAGTTCTCAGAAGAATTTTGACTGAAGAAAATAAACAGAGGTGTCTCTGGGAATAAGAGTTATGACTGTATCTATAGCTGAGCACAAAGAATCCAATAAATAAATGTAATTTATAATATGGCAGAGAATATGAAATTTTGAGGCTGGCTATATAGTGATTGACATCTGTTCAAAATAACAGCTCACTGAGCTTTGTGCCACATCTCATCTCTTCAAGCTTCAGGAAGAGACCACTTTGTAAACCCACCTCTGTGAAGAACATCTAGTTTAATGAGACTGTGGTCACTTACAGAGAACTGAATTAAATGACCTCATGACTCAGAGTGGATATTTACTTTGCTGACAAAGGGAACTGATCAGGACAAATGCAGGAAAGCTATTCTCTGGAAAATACCATAATTTTCTTCAAAGAAGTAAATAAATTTAAAGTATCATTTCGCTCAAAATCAGTGAGTGAAATTCAGTAAGAGCTTTCAGTACTGAGTTTTGCTTCCCTTCAGCAGTTAAAAAGATTTTAAAAAGAAACCCTTACTTTAAGGAAAACCTGGAGATCTTGGGCTTCAGTGTGCTTCAGGATGTCTTGCTGTAGGTGTTTGAACACAGAAATACACATATATATTTGATAATCGGGACCAAGCAAGATACATGTAGCAATGTAGTGACAGATCTCCCTCCAGTCCATGTAATTCCAGAAACACTGAGTTATCCATTGCAGACAAATCTAGATGAGAACAAAATGATACATAATTAAATTGCTGTAGACATTCAATCTTAATTGATCAGCTTTACCCCTTTTCTATACTATGGACTCCTTTTTCTATACCACTACTTATGAAAATAAAAGTGATAAAGTACAAAAAAAGCCAAGAATCACCATTTTTTAAATCTCAGCCTCCAAGTAGACTTCCAGTGAGCTCTGCTAAATGTAACACCCTGCATGTGTGCATCTCACTTACCTGAGTATGTTCTGGCACCTGAGGTTGGGACATAAAGCTCAAAGTCCAATAAAAGCAAAGGGGATTATTTCAAGATTTTTTAAAAATGTGGCCTACAGTGTAATGAGGGTTATGAAGGCATGTTTAACATGGATTTTCCTATAAATAAAAGCAGTTCTTTGCTTACAAATTAATGTCAACCCCTTCCCTAAGACATGTTTTCATTTAATGAAGTATGTATGGAACATATTTAGTGACTCCTTTTTCCAGTTCTAAATCACAACATATTGAGAAGCACACAGCACATTTCACTTCATTTAGTTCCAGACCACAGATCTTCTCCTAATCAGTCCTTAAAGTGTTTAAAAATATGCAGAAGCAAAAGAACCACAATTCTAATTAGATGACAGCAGCCATACTCTGGCACTGAATCTGTTTTCAGGTATTTATTAATGTACATGCACCTAACTACATCAGAGTTGTTTTCACAATTCAGGGTTGATTTGGTTTTAATCCTGCAGTAGAACTGCAGTAGCATGCAGAAGATACAGTAGCACCCACCAGTGGCATTTCAGTAACACATTAAATAAAAATAAAATCCCCAAACAAAAAACCTTGTCAGCAGTTCAGAACAATAACCAGTCTATTACTAATTGAGTGTAAAAGAAATACAAAAGCAGTATAACAGTATACAGTATAACTTACACAAGACTAATCGAGGAAGGAGTGATAGTCCCTACGTGTATCCCCACCTCAGAACAAGAACCTTATTATGATCACATCATTCCTATGCTGAGATAAAAGTCCCTTATCTGCTGATCTTTTCTCCTCAAAGACCAAATCCCAAGCTGACTTTTTAAAGTAATATCTGTACCACACTGGCATCTGCTCCCATTAAGAAGTCTCTTAAGCTGCAAAGGGATTTTGAAAGAATAAGATGAAAAATATTTCCCTTGGAACAGTACTAAGCTTTCTTATTGTGGCAAGAGGTCCTTTGCATTTGCAATCTAATTTATTATTGCATGACACTGTTTACACTTCATCATGACTGTAGTCTTTACAAGTAATTCCCCACAAATATTACCATTCTGTAATACCAAAGAACCATAGTAAGTAGGTGAAATGAAAGCTAACATTATGAATAAATACTATTCTTTAGTAATATCTCTTTAATATAGAAGGTTAGTGTGTTGCCTGATTGTAATAGTATGGGTAGTTCATATAAAATTAATTTTGCTATCATATTACCTGAACTGGTTCCTATTATACACCTATCCCAAATTACTCATTTCCTTCCTATGGAAATTTTAAAAAGTTATTTCAGGGAATAAGATATTCTATTTATTTTTAATGATAAATCTGAGGTTTTTAGTAAATAGTACTTTTATCAGGTTTTCTGCATGAACATGTAGTAGAAGGTAATTAGCTGCAGTTCACTGTCATTCCACCAAAGTCAGTTTTTATTTTCAGATGCTCTAAGTCACACACATTCAATACTGTCTCTCACCCACACTTTCATAACCACACACATATTGTATGAACATACTTGATTTGGTGGATTTATGTGTAAAAATTTGATGATACTCTGATATGCTTTCATCAGTTACCTGGGATGGAGTAAAACCAGACCTTTGGAAGGCTGCAAAGACAAGTGGCAACTTAGCTTTCAGCAACATTTCAATGTAGTGAGTGCTGCAGAAATAGACTGGATGGATGCCAGATTCCACTGTGGTAGCAGGTAGGTGCATCTGATTAACAACAACAGCAGCAGCAGCAGCAAGAACAAAATTGAGAAAAAGGATTACAGAAAATATGTTACTTTAAAATACCTTTGAGGGAACAACATGTAAAAGTACACATCTTTCTTTACTTGTAGGATAAGTAATCCCAGTTATTTTAGAGATAGCAAATATAATTAACAAAAAAAGTACTACCATTAGGAAAAACATGTAGTTAATACTAAAGAAAATTAAAAGTTAGAAACTGGTATTAAGTATATCCTTTGCAATAGCAACCTAGTTCTTTATTTCTTTTCATGTAAGCTTAAATTGTGAAAGTAGGGATGGAGAAACTATCATCATATTTTAAACAAAAGAACAGAAGGGAACAAAAGACTATGTTGCAATTTTTTTTTCCCCATTTACTGGAGAATAGAGTGGAACTTGTATGTGAAGTTGTTCTGTGTGTCCACATTTCTTTGCAGTATGTATGGCTGATGAAATTCTGTTCTGTGCAGCAAAAGTAACAGAGATTTTATCAGTATGGAAAGCTCTGGAAATCAGGGTCTGGTTTCCAGGTAATGCTGGACTGTCAAGGTACATCCTTTGGCATTTTACTCCTTCCTGAAGTAGGCAGCAACATAATCCAACGGCTGGATAATTCATCATTCATGTTTTGACATTTTAGTTGACATTGCAGCAGTTACGCAAATGGGTTAATTACTTAACTTTCTCTTTGTGTCTTGAAGATATATTATGAAAAAGAAATAATTTAGGCACTGAGAATGAACATTAGCACTGCAGTAACCTGCCTGCATTCCTGGCTAGTTCTTGTAAAGACAACTGTACAGATAACTGAAGTTCTCAGCAATGATGGTGTTCAGCACAATTATATTCACACAATGGACCAAAACTTTATTCTGCTAGAAAAACCTCATGGCTAGACTCAGTGCTATGAGTGGACCAATACAGTCACTTCTGGTGACACGAGGGACCAGTACATATTAATATGGGAGACTGCGTGCAGAAGAGGTAAGGAATCTAATCCGTGCTTCTTGTGCCCTGGAGTTGTCTAAGTTGTTCTACAATTTCAATTCAAAACATCTAAGACAACAACGTACAAAGTAAAACTCAAAGGGTTTTACCTTAAATAGATGGAATCACACCTAATGAAATATGGAAATGTTTTTCCTATACTACAAACTTGATCCAAGAGGCTAATAATTTCAAACTGTCAAACAATCAGTATTTGGGCAGTAGTAATTTTTTTTATTTACCAAATATATCTTAGCTTATTTAGTAAATTCTAAAACTGATTGGTAGTTTTACTAGAGAAAAAAAAAATCAAAAAGATGAACTTTCACTCTATAACAGTAATTTAAAAAAAAAAGGTCATTCCACAGTACCGCAGCCTTCACACAGAATTTAATAGCACTGACAGTTTATTTTACTAGCAGCTTTAAAATTAAATAATGTACCCTTTATTATAAGTCCACCTGTATTTTCACTACTTTTAAACAACCATTTGAGCAAATGTCAAATCTATATTTTTCTGAGAGTCTTTTTCAGGGTCACTTATTCAGTTAGAGGTCTTTAATGAAAACTTAATGCATTAAAAAAAAAAAATCAACAACAACAACTACTAAACACACCAAAAAAAAAACCCCACCCAAAGCTAAGGAAATCAACAGTCTCCTTTAGAAACTTTCAAAATTGCTTTTCAGAAAGAGACAGCTTTTGAGTTCTTACAGATATATGCAGTCTTGGTAGCCACAGAAATGCTGAAACAAGAAGACGTGAAAATTGTTTAAGAAACATCAGTGTCTTCTCCCCATCCCCTGACATGATGAGGAAGATAGAAGATGCAAACCAGTCATAGCCAGGACAGTGCTCCTGCAAGCAGCCTGTGTGAGAAGGTTAAGGAACTTGAGCAGAAAAATCCTCACTATCCTTTGGGAACAGCAGCCTTCCTTTTCCCCAGGCCCATGCACAATAAAGGCAAGAGCTGGTTTGTTAGAGATGGGACAATGGGAATACAGCTGTGCAGAAGCCAGCTTCCTGAGGCACAGATGCCTCTCAAACAGAATTAAGAGAAACTTAAGCTATTTTCACAATACACTACTTTTTTTTCCAGTCTGAAATCAAAACACTGCCGTTGATCAGTTTACAGACACATATCATTACATGGACAATACCATTAATACTGTTGGTATTGTAGGAGTACCACAAATACTCATTAATGCTCAGATGCTCATTGCCGCAGACTCTTTATCACATGCAGAATGATGTGATCCTACTCCAAAACAGTTTATGACAAAAATGAGGAAGACTTACGTTTTTAACAAAGCATAGAAACAAAAGGATGAAGAGTTTCTGGAGTGCACTGGGTGTGCATTTTAACTTGCTTAACAAAATGTCAACATAAAAGTGCTGCTTTGGAGTCGGTTGTTTGGGGTTTTTTTGCCTTCCCACCCCATTTTTCACATATGTGGATATGCATATTATACATTGACACTACACCAAAAGCCCAAACTGAGAGTTCCAGTTCTGGTATTTTTAGGCAACAGAGTTTATGACAACAAGAAAGGATACAAAGTGAGGATACCACAGTTCTTTGCTCTTGTTTCAAAAACTTTTTGCAGTTTGTTAACACGAAGCACAACCCATTTTCAGCATGTTCCTTCAGCAAGTTTAGATATTTTCCATATCTAACACAAAAAGAAAACCAGAACTGTTTAAATGTTGGAGGGTTTTTTTATTCCTAAAAACTGAGAAATCATACTTAATAGACCTATGAAAATTAAGCTGTCGTAGTGTTGGTCATTACAAACACTATGCTGTAGATACACATATAAATGGTTTAATAAAACCTACTATGCTTTATCTAGGAAGGATGCACACCAAGTATCTGCTACTCAGTGTTACACTTCGTCACCTAAATTCCTTTTAGTTGAGTGTTAAAGTCTGTGGTGAGGAGGAGCATGTATTCTAACACTCATTTTCTTCACAACATTATTTAGAATTTCGTCTAAGTATACTTCATGTGTAATAATTAGCATCAGAATTCAAATATTATTGCTAAAGAGTACAATCTGTGAAAGTAGAGAAACATTAGCTTCTCCTTCATCACGGTTCTGCAAATTAACAGCCAGGTAAAATGTTCAAATGGTTTATAACTAAGCTTAGCTAAACAGAACCATTCACAGAAGTAATATACAGGGAAAAAAAAATAAAAAAAACCCCCACCACATATAACTAAGGATAACGTAATTTTATGGTAAATCTTACTAACAAGTTACAATTACCCTTTACAACACTAAAGGATAATAACCCATAATATGTAAATATAATGTAATTATGCATTAATACCTTTTTCACTTTGAAAGTTAATTTTCTTTAAGATGATATTTGGATTTAAAATGGTAGAAAGCACTAAGATGATGGATTAAGTATCATTAAAGTCATTCCATGAAAATCAAACAAATCTTAGAAATACACTAGGGAAATATTTTAATACCACGTACCTGACTGTCATTTCAACACCAAGCTGCTGCACAGATGAAAGGCTTTCATTCTTCACATCTCCATCCATGGCTAAAACAAAAGAAAAGATATAATAAAGTATTACAATAAATATGATTTTAACTGAATACTAAAGTAAAGCTTCTATTATATATGAATACCAATTCTGAAGAACTGCTTCTTAATCAAAACGAGTTTAACAGTGTTTGCAAAGGGTGCATCAGGAATCTGAATTCTTCATATATGTTGGTTTTTTGTAATTATTATTTATTAAAATCATCTTCTTTAGAAGGAAATCTTCACTGTTAGTATGGTTATCATTAGCTTTACAGCACAATGCAAACAAACAACATATTTTTCAGTCCCATTTCTTAGTAGAGCTTTATCCCTTCTGGCCAAGAAATTAGATAAAGCAGCATTTTCTGATCTATTTTCTTCCATTCCACTGTCCTTTAAGTCTCCTAGCTGTAAAAACAACTTTGTTAAAAAAAAAATCTATTTTGATGTGAATCACAGGAAACTTTATAATTGATGGATTTAAGAATCCTGTCTTTCTTTGCCTTGTTTTTTCACACAGTAACATATAACCCATTTTCTGCATTTGTTCAAATTAAAAAAACAAGTTAGACTAACTAGTAAATCATGAATTAAAGCTACATCTGTTGTAATATTTTCTCAAAATTTTAAATTGCAAATGCAATTAAAAATAGGGCATTGCTTCCCTCATGTACATATATCATCTAATATAACTACAGATAGAAAAAATAATATTATGATTTACAAAGCTGAGGGCTTAAACCTTTAATATACTTCTTTCAAAGTGCTACTTAAAATACAACAGATTAAGCAAATAAAAAAAAACACAACAAAAAAACCAACAACCCACAACTGACATAATTTACTAAAAATGTAAATAACCGATACGGCAGCAGAAGTTAAAATATATTCATGTAAGTGAATAATGCAAAAGTTTGATTAAGCAGATGACACAGTAACCTGATACGTATTTTTTGTAAATCCTGCTCAGACAGAGAATTAAACCAGAAATAAAGCCAGGATTCCCTGGCTACCTATTCAGGTAAACACTCTATGTTCCTAGTAACAGGGAGTAAGATATTAGAGACGAAATATTTACAGGTTAAGGGCGGAAATGTCTATGGTTGGGAAGAAAAGTTCAAGAAAAATAATTTAAGGAGCACCTACTCAGATGGGATGAAGCAGGTTGAAATTCCTTTGAAGAAAACGACACAGCAAAATTACACCCAGCAACGAAGCAATAAAATTCAGCAAAGGAAGTATGGGAAAAAAAACCCTACTCTGTATTGTAACTTTAATAGAGGAGAATGATCTAAGTGTTAGCGTCATGAGAAATTAACCTTGTATTTTTGACAAATACATTTATATATAAGACAAATCAACTGGTCTCTGAGTAGAATGAATTAATTTATTAATCTGATGTCATTGAAATACCAAAACCACATCAGAAAGGGATTTTTTTACCCAAAGTACAGAAGTTCAAATATTTTTTGCACAGCATACCAGCAACACAGTATTTGGAAGAGTACATATAAAATCACAGATCATTTCAGTTAAAAAACCACAGACATCAGTGAAAGAGCTCGTTATCTTTTTACAGCTCCTGTTCCAAGTTACCTGTTTACTCAGGCTGCAATTACCATACAAAATCAATTCATTTTCAGGCTCCTGTGTGCAATCATGAAGGCAAGAGGCAATCTTATATTCTAAAAACCAGGGGAATCTGAATGAGTTTGCTATGAGTAATTGCTAATTCAGTCCTGACATGACCATATTTAATGACAGAAGAGGGGCAAGCAATATAACAACTTCTAAGCCACAAGGAAGCCCTGCATCCACTAGGAGGGGGGATCATCCTGTGGGTGGCAATGCAGGAGCTGGTATCCCAGTCCAGCAAGGGTGTAATTAGGATCAGCTGCATCACAACCCACAATCTGAGCCCAGTTTCCATGCTGTAACAGTTTACAGCAAATACTGAATGCTTATTTCTCATTCACATTAAAAGAACACCACTGATTTAATTGATTCTTATTGCCTTTTCTTCTCTGTTGTAGCAATTTCTTAGTTACTGAAAAGGGTTTTCTCCCTATCAGTTTTCTTTTTGATATTTTCCCCTGTATTGTGAAAGAAGATAAAATTTACATAGAGTTTGGACTGAATAATAATTCTATATTACACACTACCTCATCAAGGCAAAAACTCTTGCTTTTGTACACCAGTGTATATGATATAATCATACTTCCATACATTAGATAGTAAAGTTGCTGCCAACCCACAACTTGCAATAGGAACACACAAACTGCGGTTCTTTGTCCTGTGTCAAAAGTTTTGATTTTCCATTTTGTTTATCAACTACAAAATGGGAAGATTAGGCTTTAGGAAACTGTTAACTCATACAGAATATACAAAGGGCCACTTCCCTCTGATTAAAAACTGGACCTAGAAACCTTAAATGCTCCATTAAGCTTAGAAAATTGTTATTAACAAGAAGCAGAATACTGAAATATTGCGTATTGAAATCCACAGATAAAAGAGTTGTTGACCAGTATAACTGCAGGAGTATGTTGTCACTGTACTACTGTAATGATGCTCATACACCTGATTTAATATACTGAATTTAATTTTCTACAAAGCTCATTTGACAGATATTTATCAACACACCTGATTTAACTGTCTTGAAACACAGTGGGTTTCATAACTTCTGTTATGCACCAAAAGATCAATTTTCTGAATAAAAATGCCATTTATGCTCAAAGAACACACCACCTCTCTGAACTGTGACTTAGATAAAACATGATACAGCACTGTGGCTATACAAAATGGCATGAAGAGTATGCTTTGGCAGCTTTTTATTTATCTAATAAAAATTATGTTAAACAGGTATTTTATAGTTTCTTTATAAATTTAAACACTGTAAATGGAAATTAAGTCAAAATTAATCCACTGATTTGAAGGATATCCGAATTCTCTAGGAGCAGATTTACAATTAACAGAAAAAATATAATAGAAAGTTGACTTTATCTCTCATTCTAAAATGCATTTAAAAAAAAACAGTAGTAAGTATGGACTACTTTTAGGTCTAAATGATTGTATTTTTTGCCTTTTTCAGCCAAGCAACTGCTCTTCATATTAGCATTCTACCATACATACTTAGATAAGCTAATCATATTAAATATTGGTATGTCTGCTCTCTATTTGTTTTTTTAATCCACTATTTAACACAATCTTGACTATTAATTGTCAGTGATCACTTGAAACAAACAAACGAACACTACATGCGAAAAAATATAGAATATTATCTTTTTCTATGACTTGGACTATCTTTTTATGACTTGGTAAACTTCCTCTTTAACTCCAACCCTTCTATCTCTTGATCAAATTCAGTGTTCCACAGAGAACCAAAAAAAGAGAGAATTAGGACCTCTACCGCATGAGTGGGGTAAGCAACGAGGGTAGGGAAGAAGGCTCACTGAGACACTTGTCAGCGTGAACAAGATCCAAGAATAACTGCTGAATTATGTTGTTGGCTCCCCATCAGAGCTAGGTAATCTCATATGCAATTCCACCTTGAATACTGAAAGTTCCTGTTATGTCAACAGTATGCTTGTCACGACAATACAAAATCACAATGTTCATACCTAGAGCTTCTTCTTTATGTACTGTCCATTACAAATAATCAAGCTATTGGCAGCAACATTATTAAAAATTAATAAGATTTTCAGTCCAGCTACGCATCAACTGGTAAAGGGCAAAATGTTTTCTGCTAACAGCATTTTAAAGTGGGCACCCATCTTTAAAGAAGTGAATACATCAAATGATGCAGGAAGAAGGGAAAAAAGGGATGGGATTGCAGTCCTGTATTTCTCATTTGCTACTCCTCTTGACCAGCTCTCAATAGACAGCTTTGCACTGATATTTTTAAAATTTCTCAGTTCATTACTTGATCCACCTAACCCTTAGAAGATCAAGAATTCATTAAATGACAGAAAACTACCATGAGATTTTGTTCAGCAAGAGAACTAAACCTCATCTAGAGAAGGAACACATGACATTTTAGTTTAATGGCCAATGCCTGAAATCCCTGAGATTCTGTCCCTGTGGCAGTGCATGCTGATTCACATAACCAGAGCTACCACAAAAAAAAAAAAAAAAAAACAGTTGATACTGAAAGCTCATAATATTCCCAAGCTTGGGCATTCTGCAACATGCAGAATCATAGAATAGTTTGGGTTGGAAGGGACCGTAAAGATCATCTAGTTCCAAACCCCTATAGGCAGGGACACCTTACACATGCTGGAGATGAATTAAGACATCCAGACACCAATGTATTAGATGACACAGCAAGTAGAATTATTTGAAAAATGGGTTTGTTGGAAGCTTGAGAAAATTAATACATTTCCACAAAGGATTTATGTTGCAGTGAACTGGAATTTGCTAACAGGAAGAGCAGCTGGCTATTTAGGAACTTCATATCCCTAATGCATAATGCCTATTTTACTAATACAGCAAATTCCAGTTTCATACCATTCTACTGCCCATTACATCTAAATATCAATGACTTGGTTTTTGATGTTTGCTGTTTTTTAACGAAGAAAGATAAAAATAAAAGCAAACTAAAAACTACTAATTCTAGGAAAGGGAATAGATAGCATTCATTTACATTGAATGTACATATTGTATGCTATCTTACTTATCTGAATCCACATCATTGCTACTAGTATGAAGTAAACAAAGTAAAATTCGTGTTACTGTTTATAATTAAACTCTGCAACTGCATAGTGGTTTATCAGACATTTTTTCTTATCTCTTATCTTGAAAATGGTAACAACCCAAACTAATTTGATTTTTCCCTATTTGCAAATTTTATAATTGACTCAAATCCTGAGGGATTCCACAGCAGATGGATGACTGTTATTCTAATTACAAGTACCTACAGGTTCAGAAAGCCGTCATTTTTTAAGAGAATCAATTTCTCATTGCAAGAAACATGCTAAACACTGAATATCTATGCATTGCGATGCATCCAGTTTTATGAAAATTGTGGCCTCTTTTCATTAAAAATTAAACAACTATTGGAAGCCATTTTTGTTCCTCAGACCCAAATTTATTCAAGACAGTGGTGGACATACACAACTGCCAAGCACATGTTTGGCTTACTTTGATATGCAGCTAGAAAGATGCATCTGGAATATAGATTACCTTCTAACAACTCATTAGCTTTAGCTTAGATAGTGACTACACATGCGTATACAGAAAAGACGCTGTGAAATAACAGTGTTCAAATAATTAATAGCTCTCCTTGGAAAAATTCCAACCCTTCATATGCATTAGAAGAAAACCCTGGGAAATGTATAGAAATCTGATCAATTGTGAGTTTGATTGACTGATCAATATGATCAGTGAGAAAACTAATTTTAAGTAAGTAAGGCCTGATAAAGATTTGAGCATGTTTTCTTTGTTGCTTCTGTACAAACAGTAAGTGTAACACAAGCTTGGGTTCTCAAAGTGCATTCCTATCTTTGTAAGTATTCCACATTGTGTATTTTATGATGCAAAAAAGAACCTGAAATAATGTAAATTTATCTATACAACTAATTCTTACAATCAAACCTTTTTACTGTTCCAGGGTGGAGTATTATCATAGCTTTTAGAGCCATACTTTTGTTTCACTTTCATATCAATTACCATGAATTTATTGGTCTAAACTAGTGTCCCTGGACTCATTGCTACACCTGCCTGAAAAAGGTGCTATGAAATTTTAGTAACTATTATGCTATAAAAGTTAAAAGAAAGCCTTTATGAAACATATGCCGTTTCCTCTTTTCTGGCCAGGAGAACTCTTCACAACAAAAATATGCGATAATGGTTTTGCTAACAGGGAAAGAAAGCTTTAAGACAACACCAGCCCTTTGCCTACTTTTCACATCAGCTGCTTACCAGACTACTACCCTTGAGGCTTCTCACTCCCTGATTTCCAAGCTTGACTTTACTCAAGCACATGGAATATCAAAAGCATTTGCAAATGAAAATTGTTTATCAGCTGACCCTTTAAATTTTTGAGCTTTTTTGAACAGGCAAACTTACCCAGAATTCATGCCCAGTAGTGCCTGTATGAGACTAAATGAAAAAATTATTCATAAAATAGAAACAGGAATTTCATACAGATTGGGTTTGCTCATCATGAAAAAAGAAATAAAATCTGTCAAGCTCAAGAAAATAAAGAATTGAGGCTTCTACTATGTTCTTATTGTTTTGTTTCTGTACCTGTTCTTTAAGATCTTCCATTTTAAAAAGATAATTTAATGTATACAATTGTCACAGGATTCTCCAGCCTAGTGTTTCTTCAAAGTTAGCGTTAAATTTTAGATAAATAAGGTAGTGTTGTTGCTATATCCACCTAATCAGTGGTTCACAGGGAAATCAATGAAGTAGAAGATCCAGGTGACATTTCCTGAACATGTTTTAAATCCTAGCTTTCAACAAAGAGTTGAGGAGAGTAAACTGAAACTAAGGTACCCGACATCTAAGTGAACAGAATATGGACTTTCGCTTTCCTTCATTAGAGTTCTTCCATACTGGATGGAAGCACTTAGCTGTTATGATTAGGAAACAGTAGGATGCTGCCTTTGCTGGGAACCTAGAGGTTGCACAGCTAGCTGTCTGTTCCTCTTCTCTTTAGTTTTTGCGTTATTCAAACAAGGCAAGTTTTCCTGTTTTTGTAACAGGGAACGCTAAAATAATCTTTAAAAGTTTGATCTGTAGGCTATGCTGTTCTCCAAAGAGATGGGAGATGGGCATTCCCCAATGCAGGAAAGTACACCTAGCCTTCCATATCATTGGAGAACGTATGATGCTTTGAACTGTGACCTAAAAAGAGAGATGTACAGAGAGGAGCAAGAAGGGCAGTCTAGGTGCTGAGTAAATCATTTACACCATGAAGATACTATGTGGGCTTCTAAAGGACAATCAAAATCATAATCTGAATTGGAAAGTATCAGAAATACATAAGCATCAAGTCTGATGAGTCCATGAAAAGACTTTTATTGCTCACTATGCATCCTGAGAACTTAAAAAGTAAATTACTAATAAAGGACAGCAAAAAACTCTTTAAGCATCTTTTAAGAAAAAGTAAAATAGTGATGGAAAGAAGCGTTTCAGCAACTCTCTTCATTAAGAGGAGAGAGATTCTCAAAATTAAGAGTATTCTGTTAGCAAGCTTTCAGAAGGTAAAGGCCATTACATAAGAGATCCTCTAAAGGAGTTTTGTGCTTTGAAATTTTAAAGGCAAGTCTGAAGCCTCCAAGGACACCATATTTGCATCCTACAGATATGAGAATTAAAATATCAGTATAAATAACACTCTCCTCAAAGCAGGCTTAGTTATCCAGAGTAAGTGGCAGAATAAGTACGCTAAGTAACTGAACTACAACCTAAGACAAAAGCCCTGGACAGATAGTAAAAAATGAAAGTGCATTTTCCAGTGGATATTAACAACGCTTTTGAATCTTCTAATTTTTCAAATGCCTCAAAATATTAAAATGTATTACTTTACACTCAGAATAAATTAACCTTACCATTCATTCTTTATTCTTGGCTGCAAGCACGACATCTGTGTAAAACTAACACTCCGATTACTCTGCCAACAATAGCAGTTAATGCATATCTTTAAATGCAGTATTCTTTTTCATTTTGTGAAAAAAAGACAGACTAGGGACAACATGGGCCCCCTCCGGAAGCTGTCAGGAGAACTGGCTACCCTGGATTTCGAGAAAGCTGAGGTTCTGAATGACTTCTTTGCCTCAGTCTTCACTGCAAATGTTCTTACCACACCACCCAGGTCTTGGAAGGCAGAGGCAGGGACTGAGAGAATGAAGACCCTAGGCCCACTGCGGGAGAGGATCTGGTTCGAGACCATCTTAAGAACCTGAACATGCACAAGTCCAGAGGACCTGATGAAATTCATCCACGGGTCCTGAAGGAGCTGGCAAATGAAGTTGCTAAGCCATCGTCCATCATATTTGAAAGGTCATGGCAGTCAGGTGAAATTACTGATGACTGCAAAAAGAGTAATATAGCCCCAATTTTCAAGAAGGGGAAAATGGAAGACCTGGGGAATTACAGACCAGTCAGTCTCACCTCTGTGCCTGACAAAATCTTGGAGCAGATTCTCCTGGAAGGCATGCTAAGGCACATGAAAAACAACAAGGTGCTTGGTGACAGCCAGCATGGCTTCACTAAGGGGAAATCCTGCCTGACCAATTTGGTGGCCTTCTACGATGGGGCTACAGAAGTGATGGCCAGGGGTAGAGCAACTGATATCATCTACCTGGACTTGTGCAAAGCATTCAACACTGTCCCGCATGACATCCTTGTCTCTGAATTGGACAAACATCAATTTGATAGGTGGACCACTGTGTGGATAAAGAACACGATGGATGGCCGCACGCAAATAGTTGTGGTCAATGGCTCAATGTCTGGCTGGAGACCAGTAACAAGTGATGTCCCTCAGGGATCGGTCTTGGGACCAGTCCTGTTCAACATCTTTGTCGGTGACATGGACAGTGGGATTGAGTGCACCCTCAGCAAGTTTGCTGATGACACCAAGCTGTGTGGTTCAGTTGATATGCTGGAGGGAAGGAATGTCATCCAAAGGGACCTTGACACACTGATGAGGTGGGCTGATGCCAACCTTATGAAGTTTAACCATGACAAGTGCAAGGTCCTACACCTGGGTCGGAGCAGCCCAGAGGAGAAGGACTTGGGGGTGCTGGTGTATGAGAAACTGAACGTGAACTGGCAGTGTGCGCTCGCAGCCCAGGAAGCCAACCGTATCCTGGGCATGACCAGCAGGTCAAAGGAGGTGATCCTGCCCCTCTACTCTGCTCCTGTGAGACCCCACTTGGAGTATTGTGTGCAGTTCTGGTGTCCTCAACATAAAAAGGACATGGAACTGTTGGAACAAGTTCAGAGGAGGGCCACGAGGATGATCAGGGGACTGGAGCACCTCCCATATGAAGACCGGCTGAGAAAGTTGGGGCTGTTCAGCCTGGAGAAGAAAAGGCTGCATGGAGACCTCATAGCAGCCTTCCAATATCTGAAGGGGTCCTATAAGGATGCTGGGAAGGCACTCTTTGTTAGGGAATATAGTGATAGGACAAGGCGTAATGGGTTGAAACTTAAACAGGGGAAGTTCAGATCGGATATACAGCGGGAGTTCTTTACTGTAAGGGTGGTGAGGCACTGGAATGGGTTGCCCAGGGAAGTTGAAAATGCTCCATCCCTGGCAGTGTTTAAGGCCACGTTGGAGAAAACCTTGGGTGACGCGGTTTAGTGTGAGGTGTCCCTGCCCATGGCAGGGAGGTTGGAACTAGATGATCTTAAGGTCCTTTCCAACTGTAACTATTCTATAATTCTAATATAAGTCGCATAGCTTTGGGTTGATTATATATTATGGGGCTTTTAAATGTGAGCCAGACTGCTTACACTATCTTAAATGTTTATGCCCCTACATTTGCAAATCATTCTATAATAGGTGTGAACAAATACTTTAATCATACTCTCACCTGCTCTGTATCTCCAGCTTTCCATTACGCATTCAGAAATGTGAAAGCCCATCATTAATAATTATCTGTACTATTTACACACGCACATCATGTTTTGTACCAAAGGTATTTCCCACCTGTTAAGAAATTAATTTCTAAGCTGGTAAAGAACATTTTAAACAACCCCCAAAATGCTACAGATGCATTAGGAAGGAAAGTAATTTAAACAGAAACAGGCTGCTGGCAATAAATTATTAGGAAACTGACCTTTATCATTTCCCGTGCTGAAATAACAATCCAATTGGCTTGCAGACAGATGTGACACAAACTTCTCAATTAACTCGGCCAAAACTGCAGAAAGTAAAACCCATTAACACATTAGAGGCAGGAAACAAAATGTGGAACTACGTAACCTACCAAGTGACAATATCACAGTATCACAGTATGCTAGAGATTGGAAGGGACCTCAAAAGATCATCTAGTCCAATCCCCCTGCCGGAGCAGGAACACCTAGATAAGGTTACACACGAATGTGTCCAGGCGGGTTTTGAATGTCTCCAGAGAAGGAGACTCCACAACCTCCCTGGGCAGCCTGTTCCAGTGTTCCGTCACCCTCACTGAGAAGTTTCTTCTCAAGTTTAAGTGGAACCTCTTGTGTTCCAGTTTGTACCCATTACCCCTTGTCCTATCATTGTTTGCCACTGAGAAGAGCTTGGCTCCATCCTCGTGACACTCCCCCTTTATATATTTATATACACTAATATGTGAGAAATTAAAGCTATTTGAATGCCTGCATGTTTATACTTTATGGTGAAACAATTCAAAGCATGCATAGCCCTTGTACATTCATAACAGTATTCGAAACTTAAATTTTAATAGCTTTACTGAAAATATATTGTGTGTAGATAAGGAATCACATGTTATCTTTATATCTTTGTCCTGGGTTTAGCAGTAGCAGTCATTTTTCTCCTTCTTGGTAGCTGGTGCAGTGCTGTGTTTTGACTTTCGGGCTGGGAGCAGTGCTGATAACAACGATGCTTTGGTTTGGCCAAGGACTTTGTGAGCCTCATGCTCTGCCAAGGAGGAAATGAAGCCGGGAGGAAGCAGAGACAGGACACCTGACCCAAACTGACCAAAGAAGTATTCCATACCACAGCACGTCATGCCCAGGATGTAACTGGGAGTTACCCAGAAGGACACAGGGTCTTCTGGGTTGGACTCGTTTTTCGGCAGGTGGTATCATATTCTCTTCCCTTGTTATTTTCTCTTGTTGTCAGTGGTGGTAGTGGTGGTGATTTGTGTTGTACATTGGTTGCTGGACTGTTCTTGTCTCAACCCGTGGGAGTCACATTCGATTCTCCTCCCCATCCCTCCAGGAGTGGGGAAGGGGGGAGCCCCCTAAGGGGGGACGGGACGGGACACAGGCCTCGACTGCTTCCAGCCTGGCACCACTCACTGGGAGTGAGTGCACGAACTGTCTGGCTGGGTTTAAACCACGGCAATCCTCCAGGGATTACTTCAGAATTTGTTACATGGCTTCGATATGAAACAAAAATTAACTATAATTGAACTACAATATCTTACCACATGTCTGTGTATGTAAACAGGAAAGAAAAATAACCAAAAAAAACCACCACATACAAAAAAAGCCAAACCAGAACCCCTAAAAAAACCCAATAACCTGCACACAACAAAAAACTCCCACGACCCTGAAATTATGCTAACAAAGTAAGTGAAGCTTTAGGGATGTCCCACCTCAACAGGATGGTAGCCAGGAAGTTAGCAAGAAATCAAATAACAAATCATTAACAAAAGCTGATTCTTCAGTTCTGCAAGTCTGAGGCTACTGCAACTGTGCACATGCCATCTTACAGGTTTAAACAAAGGAACAAGGAAGCCTTTATGCATACTGCATGTGCACACTGCATGGAGGAAGCCCATAATGAGATAAACCATATTAAGAATTTGAGATAGCAACAATGAACAATTTTTATAAGCAAATGCTATCCTAAAAGTGTTCTCATTATAATCAGGGTTTAAAGCACAGTAGTATAACTTTCTTTCCACAATAATGCAAAGCAAGGAAATTAGAGAGTAACAACTGCTGCCACCCATGGGCTTTCCTGTTTTAAGAGTGCATGTTACCATTTTACTGGCAGCATCTGAATGTAATACCACCAAAGATTCAGCACCTGGTCCCCCATTCCTGCACATAACACCATGCTCTCAAAGGTGCTTTTGCTAGTTTTAAACCGAATAATTCCACTACACCATTTTAGCAGATAGGTGTGAATAGTTGTGATAGGTGTGAACAGCAGCACAAGTAAGGCATAAAAATCTGTGAAGGTGGCAGTGGAGAATGCTAGAAAAATCTTGAACTAGCCTTGAACAGGAATGCTAACACAGGACACTTCATTAGGGACTCTTCATTAGGGACTGTAGTGATAGGACAAGGGGTAATGGGTTAAAACTTAAACAGGGGAAGTTTAGATTGGATATAAGGAGGAAATTCTTTCCTGATAGGGTGTGAGGCACTGGAATAGGTTGTCCAGGGAGGTTGTGAATGCTTCATCCCTGGCAGTGTTCAAGGCCAGGTTGGATGAGGCCTTGGGTAATATGGTTTAGAGCGAGGTGTCCTTGCCCATGGCAGGGGGGTTGAAGCTTGATGATCTTGAGGTCTTTTCCAACCCTAAGTATTCTATGATTCTATGACACTGCAATGCAAGATCTTTTGTGTGTGAGGAGAAGACAGAACCTGCAACCACAGTCTGATGCTTGTTATACTAGAAATGTGGTACATATATGAATATATCATAAAGACAATTAACTCTCCTTCCATTCATTTTAAGCCAACATACTGATGTTAAATCATGACTGCTTTTTTTTTTTCCTTTGCTTAGTTGTCTAAAACATGTAAAAAAATTGATTGATACTGAATAAGTCCAGAAAAATGTTTTAAAAGGGTGAGTTTTGGCAACACTACATTGATGATTAGGGCAAAGGGGAAAAGAGTTTACAACAACTAAACATGGATTTACAGTTAGAGTAGCCAATGCCAACAGTAACAAACTTAATTTTGCACTGCAAAGGACTACTAAATCAAAACAAAAAAAAAAACCCACATGTAATTAATATTCTTAAGCATTTTTATGGTGAGAAGAAACTTAATTCATTAATAGCTATTTTTAATCGTAGTTAATAAACCAAATGGGGCTAGGAAAAAGTAATTTATTTTATAGAAGAATAATAGTTTATTCATTTTGTGAGAATGAACACAATAACAAAATCTCACTGATCTTCACTAATACACTTAGTGGAATTTGGTCCACAAATAATATAAAAAGTATTTGTGCAAAATGAGCAAAGTTGTCTATACCTGGAGCTGCAGACAGCAAAAAGCAGAAATTAAACTTGAAATTTTTAACTATCTAGAAGATTACTGTATGTCTACTAGCACAGCTATTACAGAAATATGGCATACTACAATAACAAACAGGAATATTTAAAAAAGACCAAAATAGCACATAATTCAGAAAATTTAAAACTGAATCAGAACACTGTACATTTTTTCCCTTTTTGCTGGAAGGCAACCATATGCTTGACCTAGCAGTCAAATATTTCAGGCCAGTGCTTGACTTAATGAGAGAAGTGACAGCTCAACTGCTAAGCAACTTCTTGAAACTCAAGCACTAAACTGATTTCTACCGTTTGAAAGTATTTATCTAAGCACCTAACAGGATCTTTGAAAAGATTTTAATCAAGTTTGAGAGTGGAAAACACACAAGAACTTATCAAAACAAATGTGGTTGATACATAAAAGGTTTTCACAGGACACTCAAACATCCATGAGAAATGACAAGTAGTTATTTTATTTTTTGTCTCTTAATACTAAGCCATTTATCTGCCATTTGGACACTCCCTGATAACCGTTATAAAGGTGGAAACTGGCTTACTTGATATTTCATTTGACTGAAAAAGCAGACAAAAAAAATTTAGGGAAGTTCATTGCATATACTACAGTCAGTATTGTAAAAGCTCACATTCTTATGCTAGGGTTATGTTTAGAGATAGAGATGAGCGCTGTGGCCTACTAATTCAGTGAAAACATTGATTTTCTTAAATTATGGTAGCTTGGCTGTATTAACATTGAAGTTGTTAAGAGAACGAAAATTAACTCATTCGAATTTAATCGTATATCCAAAATAAAAAGAATTTTAATTTAGAAATGTGTAATCGTACACAAAATAAATGGAGTTTTAAGATTCCCTAAACAACTGCAGTATGCAATCATAAAATACTTGAATCCCTGAAGGATGCTTTTTTCCCCCCCTTGAAGAACTAATGTACAAAAGGAAGGAAATTAAAATAGCTTCTAAACTGCTTAAGAACACTGATTAAAAAAAATCATGTGATTAAAAATTTGTTTTAATAGGTAACCATAAGAGGTTATCTAATTCCTACTCTGAAAGGTTTATGCCAAAAATTTCCAAAATCATGAAAAGCGACAGGCTTTTTAGATCCTCTAATGTAACTAGTGTTACTGGACCATATTCTGTATTGGATCTTATTCTATACCAACTCACAGATGCTTGGGAGCAGTTTAAAAGAAGAAAAAAAACTTCCTTAAGAGTTAACAGTAGCCCTGCTTGACTTCTGTTAGAGGTTAAAAATAACAGGAGTAAAAACCTTGGACAGCTGATAAATTTTAAGAGTAGTGTCAGCAATTTTCAACTTAATCAAATTCAGTTTAATAAATCTATGACAAACACAGTTGGCAGTTCCATTCTTAATGGCAACAATAAAAGTACCTTTTTTAATTGCTAAGATAACAGGAGAGATTTTCAATTATTGTACATTGACATACAATGTTGTATTGTACAATTGTACAAGGAACAACTTGCATTTTCTTTGAACACAAGAAAACAACTTATAAAAAAATTCCTACAGTGCTTCCATCAGAGATGGAGGTTCCATATCTTATACCAACATACAAGTGTCGTCTTTACTAGTGGTAAACACAGCCTTTCAAATCCTAATCAAATGGTGTAACCTTTACAGACATGCAGGCACATTCACATGCAATTACAATGCTTACAGGGTATTAGTTCGAAATTTGAGGCAGAAAATTTGGTCCACATTTAAGAAGATCAAACTGAGCTTTGAGAATATGTGTTCTTACAGAGAGGGCTCCTATGATGACCAATTTAGAATGAAAATCTAATGCAGAATGGAAATCTAATCTGTTTTTTTGAAATCACAGCCTTGAGAATTCTCTTTCACATACTTAGCAAGAGCCTTTGGAAGACTACTATGCAAAACTAAAGACAGTCGAATCTTCTATAGCTGGACCTAATGAAGACAGATGACTTGTTAATGCTAGTCTCCATTAGACAGGGTCCAGTACAGGAAGCATAAGTTTGCATCTTTGTTCTGTAATCTGTGGAGTTTGCTCCATCTGTAACTAAAGAGAAAGTTTTGATTGGAAGATTTCTTGGGATCTAGACTGAAGCCTCGCCTTGCTTTGAAATTTGGGAGCGCTTGGGAAAGCTGTCTGTCACAAAGTAGTTTCAATGAACATGATGTTGTCTCAAACCACAGATATTTTGCTACATCTGAAATATCTTTATAATCACCTTAAATTACCAGTAGTTACACTGAGTTTTTGTTATCCTTTTGTAGGGTGTTTTTATGTATTTAGCACTTCATTATGTTACTCTGTTTCTATTTTCCTACTTCACTTTTTTTGTGTGTGTTTTGAAAGCACCTGCAGAAGACTCTCTGAGACTTAACAATGATTCCACAGATACTTTTTTTTGCTGACTTTTACTCCCAGTTCCATCTCAGCTGGAAACAGTTATGCAGAAGAAAGAATAATTTTTTGCTTGGGGTTAACAAATCTTAATGGCTCTCTTTAATTCTGCATTTTAACTTCTGGTATCTCTAATGAAGCTGCAGAAAACAATCTACACAGGTTTTGAAGCTGCAGAAAAGAAAGACTTTTCTTTGTAAGCCACATATCACCTGTTTTTCTGTAAAAACATGTTTTTACAACAAATAATTCCTTTTAAATGCAGGAATACATACAAACAATTTTCAACAAAAATTTCATATAAACCAAAAAGAGATCAGTCTAGAAAATATGCATTCAAATAAAATTGATTTTACAATGACAAAATTATTTGTGCTTCACAATATATAACATCAAAAAAACCCTCACCAAACTTTTAGGTCAGAGTCATGCAAGAAAATAAATATATGATTTTGCTAGAAAAAACTAGGCTTTTGTTAATTGCTACTCCTCAATTTATTTTCCTTATACTAACAGAAGCTCACACAAAATACATTTAGGTATTTCTTGGTATTTACAAATCTCTGTTTGTTCACCTTTCAAAAAGCCCTCTGAATATATGCATGTGTGGACGTGTACAATATAAAAGCGCATACATGCATTATTTACAAATACGTAAGTATTCTGTCTAAACACACATTCTTCCAAATGAAAGGTGAAAGCTCAGTTTACAATCACTTAAGACTACAGACTCAAACTTGTTTCAAACAAGCAGCAAGAACAGAGAACTCAAGAGTTTACAAACATTCAATAATTATTGCCTTTAAGCGTATTACACAAATCACAAACTTCTTATTAACTACTTTAATATTAAATCAGTTCCTGCATAAATGACTTCCTTAAGGCTTCTGAAACTACCCTGCAGCTTCTATATTGCTATATAATTTATATAAAATTCAGGTCTCTTATGTAAAACACAAATGCTGGGTTACTTTGATCCTATATAGAAGATACTTCTGTCTTCACTGTCAGTTGTATTAATTGCTTACCTAAAGAATTTCAAGAGAAGCCTTTGAATCTGTAAAAAAAGCTAGACTATGTATTGACCATTTGACCATAATCAGAATTTTTACAGAAGACATTCCGAGGTACCTTCTGAGGTACAACTTCTGAAAAACTCCTAGCTTCTTTATTGCCACACAGGTTTATATGACACAGCAATTAAATTATTAAGTCTGTTTTCTGATGATCTAAGTCATATGGGTGATCACTGTTTTTTTTTTGCCTGGTATGATGTTTTAGCTGATCTATCCTAATGCTCCTGAATGAGTGTACTCTTCACTAGAAAATACATATGAAAATGAAGAAAAACCTGAATGAGTAAGTTCTTTGATGTTTAGTATGGCCTAATTCTGAAAAGTTTTATGGGACTGCCTATTAATATCGTTTCCCAACCCATCTTAAAGTCATTCATCTTAATGTGCCCTCTTTCTGTGTCGAATTTCAGTAAAACCAGCCAACACAAAAGCGTGATGGCCATAAAAAATGGGACATGAGGCATAAACCTTGTTTTCTCAGGAAAATCCCATTGAAATGGTTTTCATAATCAACACAAAATTATTGAGTGCTTGTATAGATAATGTAATCTTCAATGAACCTTTAAAGAACGGTTGTTTAGTAGTGGCCTTCTGTTTGCTTTCTCTGTTGAACTCATTAAGCTATACTCACTTGTTCCACTGATGATATCTGGTCTCGCTTTCATGACTTTGTAGAACTGTTTTCTGCAAATTTCTGCCCACCCACTCTGCTTCTCTGGACTTTTTAAGAGTGATAAAAGCTTGTCAAGATCTTTATCTGGAGGAAATAAAAAAAAAAACAAACAAAAAAGTGTTATTCTGTAATGATAATCAATGCTTCTTTTTTTTTTTCTTTCTTTTTGTTTCTTTTAAACTTACTATATAAGCAGTAAGAAGCTAATAGTTACAGAGTACCACAGAAATGAGTAGATGAATTCAGAAACTAAAAACTATTTTAACAAAGAACGGGAAAGTCAGATGTAGCTTAGAGCCCTGTCACTGCCTGGTATTTTTGGCAAACCTCGTACCTTAGGAAGAAATGCACATACACTGTCCTGTGTTTAACAGTGGCAGTCGTTTTTCTCCTTCTTGGTAGCTGGTGCAGTGCTGTGTTTTGACTTTCGGGCTGGGAACAGAGCTGAAAAAAATGATGTTTTGGTTTGGCCAAGGACTTGGTGAGCCTCATGCTCTGCCATGGAGGAGGGAAGCTGGGAGGAAGCAGAGACAGGACACCTGACCCAAACTGACCAAAGAGGTATTCCATACCACAGCACGTCATGTCCAGGAGGGAACTGGGAGTTACCCAGAAGGGCAGAGGGGACTGCAGGGTTGGAGGAGGTATTGGTCGGTGCTTGGTCGGGCTGGGGGGAGAGAGTTATCAGTTGCCTGGTGATGAGGTGTTGTATTCTCTTCCCTTGTTATTTCCTTTATCATTACTATTATTGGTGGTAGCAGTAGTGATCTGTGTTATACCTTAGTTATGAAACTGTTCTTATATCAACCCGTGGGAGTTGCATTCTTTTCGATTCTCCTCTCCATCCCTCCAGGAGTAGGGGGAGGGCAAGAAGGGGGGAGAGTGAGTGAACAAGCTGTCTGGCTTGGGTTAAACCACGACATACACTCACTCCAGCTATGTGCAATCTCTTTGCTGAGACTCTTTGACAGAGAAAGTTAAAAAAAAATAAACTGATAGCTAGTTTCAGGCAGATACAAAGAGGAAAAAAAAAAAACCAAAAACCCAAAACCACCAAAAATCCCACCAAACCCATGGCTGAAAAGCGATCTGATTTAGAAAAAAAAAAAAAAAAACACCAAAACTGAAAACCAACCGACCAAAACAAAACAGAAAAAAACAATTATGTGATGGACACAGGACCAATTTTCAAAGGAGAAAGAGAAGATAAGCTTCTCTTCAGGTGTCAGTGTCACCTAGGCAGTAGGAGAGGGAGTAACTAAGAAAGCAGAACAGACAGAATAAAACCTACAATTACAGCCTTTTCAGCCAAAGAACCTGTACATCCTTTACCTGTACTAAGGACCTAGTAGTCTTAATAATCCAAGTAATAGAAACACCCCAAGAAGAGGACAGGAATAATAGCACACAGGTTACATAGTGAAACATTGCAGCATGAAATCTGAACACAGACAGCTTCACGGAATTGCAGAAACATTGTGCTAGCCTTCAGCTCTTGGTGACAGATGTAACAAAGCAGTCATGCATTCCCAGCCCTACAATGTACAAGAGTTTGCATGACTACAGAACTCTTGCCATTCAGAAAAACTCTCTGTGAATCCTGTCCATCTCCTTGCACTGAAGCAGAATTACAGTTTAACAAGTATTTGTCCAAACTAATTTTAAAACCTTCAAGCAAGCTGTATAACACACAACATGAACTCTGAATATTCACAGAGGTTGTCTTAAAACCTCCAATGATGATTTCACTATTTCCAAATATATCCAATTAGATTTTTTTATTAATTTATAACAAAACTTCATTGCCAAGTAAGAAACTATTCCTTTTTCTGCACATGGACATAGAAAACCATCAACCTGCTTTCCTTATAACTGCTTTTAAAATAGTGACACTTGCATGACCTCTGTTTTTTCAGGATCAGCCAGTTCCAATTATTTCAATCTATATTAGCATATCACATTTCAAAGTTGTGATATGTAGCTGTGTTCCAGAATCCCTCAAATGTATCAATTTTCCTTAGACTGCAAGTGCCCCTGCTAGAGGTACTCCACCCAAGGACTCAACACCTTCAGCTGGTAATCATCATCTTCTGTCTTGTATAAATATAACTCAGAGGTCTTTCTCACAATCACGGTTTTAAGCTGTCTTGTAAAAGCGCATTCCTATAACTACCATACCATAGTGCTGAAGAATACAGTTCAGATATTCCCCATCTTCTCCTCATGCACTTGATTTCTTTTTTTACTAAGCACTGGAAACATCAATTTATGAATTTCATTCTTTTCATTTTTGATCTATTTATTTTGATACTTTCTTTCAATATAACATCCTGAAAGCTTCAGTCTGGTAGATCAGATATTCAATTTGCTGGAAGAATCAATTTTTTTCTTTTTCTTTTAATGAGAACTGAAATGGAACACTTTCAATGTCGTTTTCCCTTCTTTTTTCAAACAAAATACAAAATACTTTGACTACAAAATAAATGTTCTGTTCATTTTTAGTCTTTTACTTCAGTTACCTTTAATATAAAAAATACTATTTAAAATTAAAATATTTCAATACTTCAAACATTTGCAAACTTAGAAACTTCATTTTAGCCAATTTACTGTTAGGCAAAAAGTTTTACTCAAGCTTTTCTAGGTGGCTGTCACCTACAAAAGTGACAACTATAATATCTATTCCATTATCCCACTGGTTAATGATGAGCAACAGAACTGCTCTGAACGAGAGAGCAGAGAGGTTCTGTAGGATACAATAAAACATGCTTGTTTCCAATCTAAGAGCAATATTACCTGCCTCCTTAAAGACATATTTAAAACAACTGGGCACTCATGTTATGGTGATTTTGTTGCTGTCCTATGAAAATTGCCTTGGGAAGCTTGGAATGGTATTACTAATGTTAAGATACAGAAAAAATCCCTTTTATAACTACATGGCCTTTCCTTATTAGACAAGGGAATCACCTTTTTGGTTTGGTTTGGTTTTTTTTTCTAGACATTCATAAACAAACTATTTTATATTATAATGTAGAATTTCTGTCATTTCTGAAAATCTGCATCTGCTAAGAAAATTCACAAATAATTTCTAATAAGTACATCTCAAGGATACAGTAAACATGAACAAATACAACAAATTATTTCCTATAAACCATTCATCATGTTCTTTGCATTTTCTATGCAAATTAAAACCTTAAAATGGTTTCTCTGTATGAATTAAACTGCTTTGCCTAGGTAGCTCTTGAAAGGATTCTCCAGTCTGCTCACATTCCAAATTGATGTTCAGTATGGAAACCAACTATCCTAAACGCTGTCTATTTCACACACCACCAAGCTTTGTAAACACAGGGATCTGAATCATGAAAATAGTGTACAAAATAATTGTAGCTTAACCATACTGTCTTGCTTCAGTTACTGAAGAGATGATATAAATGTATCTCCTGAGTCACTCACCTAAGGCAAGCCAAAAGGTTAATCTCGAAGTCTGCATACGAATTAGATTACTAAACAGCGCTTTGCGGACTGATAGTTGGACAAAGCCAGACAAGCAAATTCAAACCAACTTATTTAGCTACAAATATAGTGAACAGTAACAAAAATCCTTAAATACTTATGAGATTATAATTTGGGGCATAGAGGGAGGTGTGGAGGATAAAAAAATAGATACAAAATCAACCCAGACGCTTGTTTGACATCTGCACTGTTTGCATACTTCATACATACCTTGTCTGAATTCACCTTTCCTAGGGATTTCTGCAAGATAGCATTTTGGCAAAGGGAGCGATGAAAACATTGGCCAAGGATATGAATTACTGCCCTAGAAACAAGACCAAAAAGAAATTAATTTAGAAGAATTAATAGCATTTGCTTGATTAACACACAGGTAAAGTTCCCAGAATTACTGTCTATGCACCAAAATTATGCTTGATACAGTAATTTGCAATTAGATTTTCTGTAAATAACAGGAAAAAAAAGAAAAAAGTTAAATGATATAAAAATCTAAAAAGCATTTGAGCCAGGTTGGCTTTTTTTATATATCACAAAATAAATAAACACACACAAAAACATCCCACAGAACTGTATTTCCAATTTTATACACTGATCTGTCTTTGCTACGCTGACAGCACAGTAATTTGCATTTCATCTTTGTAAGACCGACAGCCAGTGAGAAGCAGAACATTTAAAGGAGCTGCTTAGAAAAACTATTGTTAGAACATTGATGAAAAGCTCCAGGTATTAGATGCTACAGATGAAACCCAAACATGGAAAAAAATATCAAATAAATGGAAGATAGAACAAACAGAAATATAAAAGTAAGTAAAAGATGAGTTGCATTCACTTATATAGTGGGAAAAGTAACATTGACATGAAGCAATATTACATCTGAGCACAGTATGTCCTTCCCATATGCACGTTCCACCAGACAGTGGAAATAAAGTGGGTTTTTTTTTCAGTGCATCACTTCTTAAAAACTTTAGCACTTTCTAAAGCTAAAAATGGACTGGTATTTCATAAATTATGTTCAACATGTTGATTATCAGCAAAAGTGTTCAATTAATGAAGGCAGGAGTTACGGAAAGAGAAACTCTAAAACTTTAGTTTCTAACCTTATCTAGTACTCTCAAAGGCAAAATCCTTTCCCGTGGTCCTCCAATCAGGTTTATCCTTACAAGAATATGATTTCTTTCCACTGATAGAGCATCGATTATAAAATCCCTGGGGAAAAAAAACCAAACAAAACCCCATAACCTCAAAAAATCAGAACAACTTTGATTTACCAACAGTTTTATTTGGAAAACTTCAATAAGCAAGAATACCTTGAGACACATGCTGGTGTTAAAACTCAATCTGGAAAACACAAAGGCATAAAGAAGCAAACAAAAACATAAAGTATTTTGAGATGTATGCAAGCATTATTGTAACTTTGTACTGACTGCTGATTGGAAACATCTGAGCAATTACTGTATGCAAAAGAGTAGAAAACTTTACAAGCTTTATTACGCCCAGATGCTCAGTAATTAGGGCACAGCTAATGGCAGTAAAATTTGCTCCTTATTTGGCCTACCAGCAAATGTCTGCTGTCACAAATAAGCAGTTACTGATAACTTGACATGCAGCCAACTTGTTATCTGAAGTCACCCTGTGGCCCAAGCTACATAACTTTTTAAATGGAATAAAAATCAGCTTTTATACACGAAGTTTCTTACAATTTTTTACATAGTAAGGAAATAAGCTTCATCCTCAAATGGTAAACAACAATTATCTATATCTGCTGAGATCTCACCCATACCATTTGGTTTAAACTCTGTACTGGTCCCATGTAGCAAATCGTAAGAAGAAGATTCTTAAACTCTGCATGCTGAGAGAAAGGACAACATGCCTGTGACTAAATGACTGTCCATTTCTGTCCCCAAAAATACAGTTTCCCTTTTGAAAGGATGCATTGTGCAATTTTATTTAGAAGTCAGCAATGGAAAGTCACAAAAGTTGGAGAGTTGACTAAGTTATATATAAATAAAAAACACAAAATAAACCAAAAAGTACAGATGGTGCCCTTAATTTATAAATGTTAAAACAATACCCTAATTTTATATTATATACAAAACATAAAGGGATACTATTAATAGGAATATTTACATCCATAAATTTTGCACTTTTTTAAGCAATAAGATAAACACAAATAAAAATGAGAAAAATATTTGCTTTTTTATCCCTTGCACTTTTAACATGGATGTGGGATTAAAACCAAGACTGTTGTATCTTGTCGTAACTTAAGACTGATGACAAACTTGCATGTAAGTAAACTTACACATTATAAGTCAGCTTCAGTGAGAGCACTTGTACATTTAAAGCCACTAAGGTGTTCATGTATTTGTTCTCAGGAGGAAAGGTTTATAGTTAAGATAACATTTACATCATCCACTTCTTACCCTGGTCCTTCTGAAGGTTCTATGACATTTTCCTCCTGAGCTGTTAGTAAAACTTGTGACACTTTATACTGACTCTCCAAGAGTAAAAGGGTATTGAGCTCACAGCACAGCACATTTAACAATCTGCAGAAGGAGACATGAAATGACAGCACATAAGTCAGGGATCTAGTAATGCAGAGTAAGACAGAGGCAAACATGTTTATGAGATCTCAGAATGGAAAAAGAGCCAAACAAAAAACTTGAGATACGAAACATTAAAAATACCCAGACAGAATTGGGTCAGGAAAACTCTTTTATATCCTTTTTAGCCACTAAAGGGGCACAGCCTTAAGCAAACAGCAAACAGATTTTTCGTATGCACTGATGAACCAGGAAAAATATTCACTGGTCAGCCCAATCTGATTTTGAGCTTAAATCACAGAATCACACAGACTTAATAACACATTCCATGTGAAATAAGAGGAAATTATGCAATAACAGGCTGATAAGGCAACTCAGAATCAGTTTTTCTAAGTAAGGGGGAAGCGGAAGATAGAAATACATCTTTCCTTTAGAAAACAGGTCTTTAAGCGCTTCTGTATAATCCCATTTAACACAGTTCAAAAGCAATAAAGGATTTCAAAAGTAAATAAAACCCAAAACAACCAAATCTACTGTTTTGGGGTTGTTTTGTTGTTATTTTGTTGAGAGAAACACAAAACAATGGTAAGTGAAATTAATAATCACGAGCATGTGACAGCAGATTACATACAATTTTTATAACTTCAGGACAGTGAAAGTACTCCAATATATTTCATGTAAATCTGATGTATGGCAATTCAAATCCTATAAATTTTTTATTTTACTGATCTATTCACTCTAACTCAACAACAGAAAAATTTTATTCAAGGCTTCCCATTCCTGGAAAATAATACAACTAAACATTCTTACTGCTAATTTTACTTCCTGTTTTATCACAGTCATAAAACACCACATAAATTAGCCTGATCAACATTATATTTTGCATTCACATAAGACTTAATATGAACTAGAAAATACATAGGTTGAAATTTGAAATGTTAGTCAATGCTTCTTCTCTTCCATGTGATTCCCAATATGCTTTTACTGACAACAGCAAAAAAGCCTTTCTCCACATAATTTAACATCTGCGAATTCACACAGTTGTGGCCAAGGACTCAAGAGTCAAGATGATAATACATAAGGGCTTGGTGGTTTTGGGTTGGTTTTTTTTTTTGTTGTTGTTTTGGTTTGGTTTAGGTTTTGTTTTTTGGGGGGTTGGTTTTCTTAAATATAACTTGATCTGTTCAGTTTCAGCCCTCTTCAGGCTTTATTTAACTATCTCCTGAGATTGACTTGTATCAGTACTTTTCCAAATCACAGAAAAAGAAATTACAATTCCACTGTATTATATATATATATATATATATATATATAAGAAAAATCTACAAAAAAAGTACTGAAATCATTATGAAGATGGACCATTTCTTCTGCTAAGTATGATGACTTCATATGGCAAAGTACTTGTTTCCAGCACCTAAAAAACCCTTGGGAAAAGACTTATGGCTGAGACTGCTTATAACATCTCACCTGGTACACAAGACAGAGAAAGGAGAGGTGAGGGAATAAAAAAGAAACAAAGCATAAGCAAATAAAATTAGGTAGAATGGACAGTGGTAGGATAAATGACAAAATATATGCGATCTAATATTAGGAGTCTCTACTGAAGCATTCAAATGAAATTTACATCTACATGGAAAAATCTATTTTAAAATGCCATCACTAAACTGCAGATATTTGGTTGAAGGCAATGCTCTATTGCTTTATCTTCCAAAGTCATAAATGTATAGACTAAATTTTTAAACTTAAAAAAAAAAAAAAAAACCAAACCCCCACATTTTACACCGTGTATATTTGTGATCATGTTTGAATATAGCTATGAATTTTTTCTTTTTTGTTTAATTGCATTGGGAACATAACAACTGATCAGATCATTCAGCTCAATATCCCATCTATAAAGAGTGTAGGCATATAAAAAAGTATAAAACTTTGACAGATACAATAAAAATCAAAGCATATATTTTCTGAGATGTATTTTAAATTTGAGGGGGTTTTAATGCAGAAGATAAAATTTCCAACCTAAATGTTTCTGAAAATTGGAAGATAGGTTTTGATGCAAGGTCTTGTACCTGGAAAGGATGCATGTGTTTCTACCTGTTCAATCCCCACAGAACAGGACAGGCTGGGGGACTGATCAGGTAGAGAGCAGCTCTTCAGACAAAGATCCTGGTGCTCAATAGGTTGAACGTGAGACAGCAACATGCCCTTGAAGGCCAACAGCATCCTAGACTGTGTAAGGAAGAGTGCTGCCAGAACATTATGTGAGGGAGGTGACCCTTCCCCTTTATTAATACTGGTAAGTTCATACTTGGAGTGCTGGGTCCAGTTCTGGACTCCCCAGTAAAAGCATGAGATGGAGTGGATCCAGCAGAGGGCCACGGAGATGATTAAGGACTTGGGCCGTCTGACACAGGGAAGGAGGCTGAGAGAGCTCAGCTTGGAGAAGGCCCAGGAGAGAGCTTGTCAGTGTGTATAAATACCTCACAGTAGGGTTTGAAGATGGAGCCAGATGCTTCTCACTGATACCAGTGAAAGAACAAGAGGCAGTGGGCACAAATTGAAACACACGAAATTCCACTGTAATATACTGTGACGGTGGTGTAATAGTGGAACAAGTGGCTCAGGTATGCTGCAGGATCACCAGCCTTGGAGATATTCTAAACTGGACATAGCCCTGAATAATGCTGTAGTCAAACCCACTTTGCATAGTCCAACTGCTCTGCTCAATCTTCAATCTCCCTATCAATCCTGAATCTATAATTCCATGAAAACTACTACTAAGATATACTACAGTCCCAGAAACAAACTGCAATACAGAAAAAATAACTTAAAAATTTATTTAAAAGAAATTTTAAAGACATTCAGAAAAGTCAAAATATGCATCATAGTTGTGAAAATACAGTATTAATAAGTAATTTTGTTTCCTAATTCTCCATTTCCTGTCCTGTGTCATCCCTGACTTTCTTGGACAGTCCTCCATGGATTCTCCCCCTTGAACTATAATTTCACAACTAATACTTCAATGTAGAACTCTCTAGTCTGAAAGAAGGCATTCTAACTAGTACTTGTGTACCTACTGTCATGGTTTAAACCCAGCCAAACAGCTTGTTCACTCATTCCCCCTGCTTTTTCCCTCCCTCTGTCTTTCCTTCCACGCCCCCCGCTCCCAGAGGGATGGGGAGGAGAATCGAAAAAATGCAACTCCCACGGGTTGAGACAAGAGCAGTCCAGCAACCAATGTACAACACAAATCACCACCACTGCCACCAATGACAACAATGATAAGAGAAAATAACAAGGGAAGAGAATATGATACCAGCTGCCAAAACAAACGAAGACCCCGTGTCCTTCCGGGTAACTCCCAGTTACCCCCCCGGGCATGACGTGCTGTGGTATGGAATACCTCTTGGGCTACTTTGGGTCAGGTGTCCTGTCTCTGCTTCCTCCCAGCTTCCCCTCCTCCCTGGCAGAGCATGAGATGCACAAAGTGCTTGGTCAGGGTAAACATTACTTAGCAACAACTAAAACCATCAGTGGTTCCCAAGCTGAAAGTCAAAACACAATGCTGCACCAGCTACCAAGAAGGAGAAAAAATGACTGCTACTGCTAAACCCAGGACACCTACATAAATTGATATCTCCTTGGGTTTTGGTAGGTGGAATCATAATGAATTCTTTAACTATGGCAGAACAGAAGGTCCTCTATGGGACATAAAACAACTAGTAAGTAATTCCAGCTGCTAATAAAAATTAAAATGTTAATTTTTATGTTGCCCCGCTAAATTTTTTCAGCTGAACATAGTATAATTAAACCACCTATGAATTTCTCCAAGTTGCGAAAAAAACACATTACGAGGCTAGCTTATTATCATATTTCTCTATATTTTTTCTGAGTTCCTTTAAAGAACATAAAATATGATGTTCCCTCTACTCCCATTTTCTGTTATCTCCCTCCCCACAACTTCAAATCACACCTCTCTCAAACACTATTCTTTACTACAACAAATCCAGTTCCAGTTTTCAGCAGTTCCCACTATAGTCTCTTCTAGTTCCCATAGTCTCTTCTTCCTTACTTTCATAACGATCTAATGCTCTGTCCTCACTTCAGAGATGCCTGTAAATGCTCAGATGGTGAGGAAAGATGCAAGATATTTTCATGAACACAGTACTAGTCTGTGGTGGGTTGACAACAGACAGCAACTAAGCACTCACCCAGCTGCTGTAATCTCAGCAATAACATGAATCCAGGCAGTGTGTGATGGCTAACCAAACCTGAAATGCTTGCACCTATGCTGTCTATAAAGATGTGACCCCAAAATGGAGGACTAAACTGGGGTTTAGTATAAGGTTTTCTTTTGGCTTGGAATTACTGCCTGCTATAGATACAGGCACAGCTGCCCCAGGCCAGTGTAAAATAACTGTGTACAAATGTTATGCTGTATATGGGACAAAGTAAGGTCTTTCTTTTCCAGGAATCAATATTAAAAACATAAGTGGAAAAAAGCAAGGACTGGAACCTCTTTGCAGTAGCAGGACCTCCTCTTTGCTAAATGAACATATGTACCAACATTTATACCAACAGAGAAACCCAAAGCAAAATTTTCATTAAATAATTCCAGTGTCAGCATCATGGGGGATGGCCTCAAAACAACAACCATAGCCTACATAACCATTTTGATTTTTTACTAAGCTTTGAGTAATGGTCAGAGGAAGGGGGCGGGGGAGAAAGCAAGCCAAAAGTCATCTTGTAAATGCTAGAACACAAAGGGCACATGGAAGCTTCAGCCATGCAAAGCTTTGCACACTGCCTTTGCAGGCTGCACAAAGAGCATTAGTAATGAGCAGAGAGAACATGCCTCTGCATGTAGTCTTGCCAAAGAATCAATGCTTTTAGTTGTTCCACTGAAGCTAATGGTCATAGTGGTCCTGAAAAATATCAGATCTTGTGGATACAGAGTACCCTGAGTTACACCTCTGATGCCTGGGGCACTGAAAGCTACTACCTCA